TGGTAGAAATAACACAAACTGGTTGTCTTCCAGGCATGAATTCATCTTTTAAGTCTGATCCGCTGATGTTGAGTGTGAGGTCAGGGGTCAAACCAGAACCTTGACGTCAGCCTGCTTCATCTAAATCCATTCTAAAACCAGTCTGGCTTGGTGTTTGGAAAGGTTCTCAGAAGACTGTTAGAACACCCAACCTTTTCCAGGTTTCTTCATTATTCCATCCACTTTGTACAATACAGCAGTATCCTAGGACCCTCATCATGATGCTACCACTGCTGTGCTTATCAGTTAGTTCTGTTTTTGTTTTTTAAGTCTAGCCTTTCCTGATGTTTTCCTTATTATAATTAAACAACATGGTTGTTGCTTATTAAACCATACTTTTTCTACATTTTTTTTTTCCATTTGCAACATTCCAAGATGCCGATTGCTTCTTTCATGGGCAACACCTCCTCAGCCCATAATGAGGTAAATTTTGTGTCATTATAAAGGAGCTGGGTAATCCCTGCCTAGTTTTCCTTCATCCTGTTCACTTTATCTGCCAATTAGTCAATTTCCAGGTTTCAGAGCTGGAAATATAAATAGATTTAACCAATTTCTGTACAGGCCTTTTCCTTTCTGGACCTCAATTTTCAACCTTTGTACTACAGGCAGTGACCAGCAGTTTAAACCAAACAAGCCTTGGTGAGCCTTTGCTCCTGATGATCCACATTAATTCCCATCCATCTCTGCCCTGCAGATACAGTCATATTATTGGAAATGTGTCACAAATAGGTGTTTGTAAACCACAATGACTGAAACCTCACCTCAAAATTACATTTATAGGGCTCCCGTTAAAGGAATAGTACACCCAAAACATGATTAGCCTTCATTTTCTACTCACCCCCATGCTGAACAGGCGCGCGCTTGTAGGAAATCCTATACACTACTGTTTATGCTCTAAAAACATTCTGAATGACTTAGTTTCGAGTAAATTCTGGATGCTACCCACTCAGGACACTTGGAATACATTGGACGAGCAGTATGGAGGAATATTGACACGTTTTTTGTGGACTTTTATGGACCTTTCTGCCTCGGGCGCCATAGACCTCCATTATTTGAATGTCAGCAGACAGCAAGAAGCCTCCCAGATCTCCAGATGCATTTGAGATATCAAAAAAGTACTCCAGAGTGTTGTTCAGCATGGGGGTGAGTAGAAAATGAAGGCTAATCATGTTTTGGGTGTACTATTCCTTTAAGCTTCTGGAATGACCCAAATCTCACTGTGAATGAAATCTAGTGTAATATGCTGAAACGTCAATCAATCAATCAAACTTCTTTATTGTCAACTACAATTTACATTGCAATCGAAATTTCAGTTTCAGTACAACCGTTCATCACAATACGTCACATACATTCGGGTGGAGGGGCTGAGAGGAGAAACGGATTGACTGAGGCCCCGCGTGCCGCAGAACGCTGCCATTCGGCAGAACGGCGGAGCCACAATGGGAAAAAGAGGGTAAAAAAAGCATATTTCACACTTTATCCTTGACAGGATACAGTTTTAGATATTTAAAAAACCCTTCTGCACAGGAAAAGCACATGTAACACAAGACAGACATTTCAGCAGAGGGTAACATCAGTGGTTTAGTCACATGAAGTCAATCTGACATATTGAGACATTTATTGTGTGTGTTTGATTAGTGGGTTCAATTTGTCCGTGAACGCTGACCACAGGCAATGTCCTTGATAAGATGGAAGTTTATCAACAGTTGCTGAGCTCATCCACAGATGTCTTTGCGGGTAGGGGAGGGGAAGAGCAGTTCTTCTGTGCCCTTTCACCATAACATTCAGCGGAGAGTAGATAAAGGGGGTAGGTTGAATCCAGAATAACACTTATTGTTTTGAGAGCAGGCTGCACAGGAATTTCCTTCAGCCTTAAGTCTTTTTCTTGCTGGCTCTTTCTTGGCGAAATCCAATATTCCAAATGTGTTGGGCTTTTCCGCCTTGAAGCGAGCGTGCCCATCCATTAAACGTGCCATGAGGCCAACCAATCTGAAGGTACTCTACCAATCCTGGTAAGAAGAATAAATAAATATCCATCCCAGATCTGGTCAGAACCTTGTTGACATGTGTGAAAAGGGAGGATGGGTGGTGGCTTCCTTGGGGTCATCTACCCAAACATTAACTGTGTGCATTATATATTAGAGCTTGTACAAATGATTTGACATTGTATAAATAACAAATTAAACAAAAAATGTTGCACTTTGTGCTAGTTTTATCAAACAACGATAACAAAAATAGGTCTTTAAAAGCCCCAAATAATGAGACTAGAGCCCAGGTATCAGGTTAGATGAATAAACGAATCCCTCTGAATTATAGATTAAGACATCCATGACCAGCCGTCACACTGCTTGCCTCCGCTTCAGAATCCTGCTGCTTTTATTGGGATTTAATGAAGGAAATTACTGAACCACTGGCTAAAAATAAGACCTCTTCATAACATTTCCTGGTTTACTTTAGGAAACATGGTGATTAAAAAATGATAAGCATCAAACGGATTCATCATGTATCTGATCCCAGTTCAGGGTTAATTCATTTATAGGCTGTCAGTTAGTGTATCATCACAGATAACAGCAGACAAAACACACAAGGAAACTAATCTTCTTCCTGGGACCACAGCAGTTCTCTAGCACATCAATCACTGTCACATTCCCTAGAGATTTAAATAAGGTAGACCTGTCTTTGTTACCTAAGATGTTTATATTTGTGCTGTTTTATTTAAGTATTTCCAGAGTTAAAGGAAGGAGGGGAAAAAACAGGAATAAAACAACTTTTTACTTACTTTAATATAAATCCATATTAAATGCTGGATGCTAAAACCAATAACCACGCCAAATCAGGTCAACCCTACGAGGAACTTTCCCTCTAACAAATGTAATAGTAGTTTAGATTAAAAAAATATTTGATGAATCTTTAACACAAGAAACATCCATTTTTGTGGTTTGCTACACAGAAGGTAATATACATTTGCAATAATTTAATTGAAATACCTCAAATCCGTATGAATTTGGCGCCATGGAGGAAGGGTATCAGCGGTCACCATATTAAGTGGTGTCCAAAAAGTTCTGCCAGTTAGAAGGAGCTAGGAAGAAGAAGCAATATGCTTCCTTGCAACAATTTAGCATTGAGTCCTAATAATCCTAGCTGCTGCAGGGAGCTATATCGTTTCCCACAATCCTTTGCGTGACAAGACTTGTAGACACAGCCCACCTCATAGAGTTTAACAAAAATGCTTAATTTCTTCCCATGTACTTTGTGTGACACATGCTATTTTATACACCTTCATATGTTTTTCTCCTACTGTACGCTACATTTCTGTAGCTTTTTTTGTTGCTCTTTTGTAGAAAATCTGTAGTCCTTATTTGACAAACCTAACTAATTTGTGTTACCTCCGTGTAATGATGTAGCACAGCAGTCTGGAGCCGTTTCCTATACTGGATAGTGTTCCTATTGTTTTAATGAAAGGTAAAGGGATAGGAGCAAGGAACAGAGGTATAACATTTGTGGTATTTGCAAGGAGTAAAGAAAATAGGCCATCAACACTCTTCATTCATGAAACATTGTAAATTCCAGAATGTTTCTGGTCAGAGGAACTTGCTACTGGCAAAGGAATGGATGTGCTTTAAATTTTTATCAGACATCAGATTATATTCTAACCAAGGCTTTGCTTTCTTTGTTCCCTGCACTTTTTAAACATCCTTCATTTAACTAGGTGGAAAAAACACATTAAGATAAAAAAAACTTTTTTCTAAGAGTTGCCAAGACAGCAACTCAACAACATAGTCACAGAAGATGACTCACATTCGAATACATTGTACAGATTATGATAAATTTGATCTGACAGACATACAAAAAGGAACATAGAAGCACTGATCTATAAATACTTTCTATGTGGCAGCTATTCAAAATGGCCCTTCCCAATCAAATGCCAGCTGAATGGCAGCCAACTTCCCTGCAGCTTCCACCAAAAACCCCTCCAACTTCCAGCCACTGCTCTTTTCCTGGGCGTGCTTATTTTTTTAATCTTACTCCACCCTTTCACTGAATTACAGGGTCTGACCAGTAGATGGTGCTTCTCTTCAGACCTTAATGCCCACAAATCATGACAGAAAGAATATTTTAGTACAAAGATTGATGTTTAAAAAAGAACTATAGGGGACCAGCCAAGGGGCCATCAAAGAAAGTTGGGAAATTTTGAATGGCTACTACTGTAAGTGGCTCGGTTTAGAAAAGATAGTTTTTCATAGTAAAGTAATAAAAGAGAGTGTATACAGTTATTCATTAAAAACTGTAAAGGTTATATGAATCATTTAGGTGCTGTATTTATATTTTAACTATTTAATTTTTCAAATAATAAGAAAATTATAACATTTTGATCCATAAACTTTAAAATGAGAACGGTATCATTTTTTATTATGTTGTGTTTAAAAGGATTATTTACTCTTAAATTAACTTTGCATTAATATACATTTGGTATGCATGAAAAGTAGAACATTAAACACATTTTAAAGCCAAAATATTTAGGCCATGTCTTTGTGTAATTATACATAATGTTTTAATAACAAACTGGCATTATATGCGAATATATGTGATAAAATAGCCTCGGTTTATAAATAAAAGTATTTTTTTTCCATACAACTTTATTTATTTCTGCGAAGAACAATACAGAGCAACCATTCACACCAACCATTATTTACAGACATTTTCAACAAGTGTAAATTCACATTTTTTATCAGTCATGTAAATAACCTCGTTTTGTGCAAAACAAGAAACAAAAAGGAAGAAAGACAAGAAAAAGTAAAAATAAACTAAGATCTTACATTTATTAAATAAAAGTTAACGCTAGGGGGAAACAGTGCTCTAAATAATATTAAAAAGGACAAAGGCTTCTCGAGTTAAATAAAAGTAAAATAACAAGAGGAGCAGCGTGATTTGTGACGTCTTTCGCAAACAAAGCTCTGATTGGTTGTTCAACCACCGGAAGTGGAGTGCTGCCAACTCTTTTCTTCGGGCTCCGTGGCGCTCCGTGGCTGAAGCTGCCGTCGGTGGTTGATTTCGTATGAAGCTTCTCGGCGTTGGGCGCAGGGCGGACATGGACAAACACACAACGAGGTGAGGAACATTTTCTAATGACTATCGCCGATTAATGAGCTTTATTTAGGGAGCCAGATAAGCTAAAAGCGTCGCAGAGATCTGAACGTCTTTAAGGGCGCAGAATATATCCCCTACATCCGGTTCTGATTTTTCAAAATAAAAGTAGTCTTTATGTTAGGTCTGCTTTTTGTCCACAGCAGCCAAATGTTAATCTTAATTAATTAGAATATTCTTGGATTTATTAAAACACAAATAAATTATATTAATAATGATTATCTATTAGAGTGTGAGTCAGTTAAACATTTTAAATACAAAAAAACATATCCTAGGATAGTAACATACAGTATATATTTGGGCATGTATTTGTATCAATTCAGATTATTGTAGCATACTGTAAATACAAACAAAGTCATTTTAAAAAAAATATTTGAATATGGTAAAGTGAAGGATGGTTTCATTACAGAAACGTTTAGATTATTTTGTAATCTGTTTAATCATGGAGAAGTCAAGCTAACAGTCACCAGGGTAACTATCCAAAGGTCATGCTTAACAGGCCTAGTATTCAAAGTGCCATGTCTAAGCTTATTAATGGGAAGTTGAGTGGAAGGAAAATATCTGGTTAAACATGCTGCACATAAACAGGACCTTAGGGATTATTGTGAATGAAACCNAAACAGGACCTTAGGGATTATTGTGAATGAAACCGGTAAAGCCCATGTCACACCTTGCAGTTTAGACAGCATATGCCTGATGTAGGAAAAATCGGGCAAAAACGCTGACATACGTTGGATAAGTTATGAGCATGCTGAAACACGATGGCACATGTTAACATACAGCAAGTGTGCAAGAAATTTTGAGCATGACATATGCCATATGTGGGCTATAAGTTACAGGTAAAGCCGGCCATACACTGTGCAATTTTTTTCAATCGTTGCACGCATTTACAGCTCAAACTGTACGATGAAACCCTGCGGTTTCGTCGTACAGTGTGAGTTCACAATGTTTGTTCTCACACTGTGCAGCATGACGCTCTGATGCGATCTACCTGCTCACACCACAGGTCTAAAAACCCAGAGTCAGCTCCAGTAAGATGGCGCTACTCGGACTTGTCTATCCGAAAGCGATACGAGTAGAAGAGGAATATGAAGCTCACTAGAGAGAAACTCGCTGCCTTGGCAATTTGTGCAATTTTGTGCTGAAAGCCCTAAAATGAAAAGGCGACGACGTATTTGGACAAAGACATGGCAGAGCAAACTTGGCTACTATGGTCTGTCAGTTTTACAGAAAGAACTCGCACCCCCACCATGTTTCTGGGTTTGCATTTGAGAGGAAGAAGAACAATCCTTGTTTGCGCACTGAGAGATTTGCCAACAACCACCTTATTACGGCCAACTGAAAATCAAACAGATTCAAAGATCGAAAAATTGTCTCACAAGTGGAAGGTCGGCCTCGAATAGGGCAAAAAATTGTAGACAGTATATGCTCCGCTTAAGTTATTTGATCATTGACATACCTTAAGTGTTAGTTACTCATAAGTTGTGGTGTCTAGCTTATCCAAAACCTATTTATTTATTTATTTATTTATTTATTTATTTATTTATTTATTTATTTATTTATTTATTCATTCTTCTTTCTTTTTCTTGTCGGGCAGTAAACAGCAGCTAGGTTAATATCGTGATCAAAGACATCTTTTTATGCAGACCGGACACCTCCGGTCGCATTGCTGCCCTCCTCAGGACACNGGAAAATATCTGGTTAAACATGCTGAACAAAAACAGGACCTTAGGGATTATTGTGAATGAAACCAGTAAAGCCCATGTCACACCTTGCAGTTTAGCCAGCATATGCCTGACGTAGGAAAAATTTGGCAAAAAACGCTGACATACGTAGGATAAGTTATTGGTTTGTTTTTTTATAAGTTATGAGCATGTTGAAACACCATGGCAAATGTCAACATACGGCAAGTGCGTCAAGAAATTTTCAGCATGACATATGCCATATGTGGACCATAAGTTACAGGTAAAGCCGGCCATACACCGTGCAATTTTTTTCAGTTGTTACACGAAGCTACAGCTCACACTGTACGATGAAACCCTGCGGTTTTGTGGTACAGTGTAAGTTCACAGCTCACGATATTTGTTCTCACACTGCGCAGCATGACGCTCTGATGCGATCTACCTGCTCACACCGCAGGTCTAAAAACCCAGAGTCAGCTCCAGTAAGATGGCGCTACTCGGACTTGTCTATCCGAAAGCGATACAAGTAGAAGAGGAATATGAAGCTCACTAGAGAGTAACTCGCTGCCTTGGCAATTTGTGCAATTTTTTGCTGAAAGCCCTAAAATGAAAAGGCGACGACGTATTTGGACAAAGACATGGCTGAGCAAGCGTGGCTTCTACGGTCTGTCAATTTTACAGAAAGAACTCCAGTTCACTCGCACCCCGGCCATGCTTCTGTGTTTTCACCTGAGAGGAAGAAGAAGAATCCTTGTTTGCGCACTGAGAGATTTGCCAACAACCACCTTACGACGGCCAACTGAAAATCACACAGATTCGAAGATCGAAAAATTGTCACACAAGTGGAAAGTCGGCCCAAATAGGGCAAAAAATTGTAGACGGTATCTGCTCGGCTTAAGTTGTTTAATCGTTGACATACGTTAAGTGTTAGTTACTCATTAGTCGTGGTGTCTAGCTTATTCAAAACCTCTAAGTAACTTGTGCATAACTTCTGTTTAACTTATCAAGAACTTCTCTCCAACACATATCAACATATTTGCCGTGTTCCAGGCGAGCGCTGAACGTGTTTCTAACTTCCAGCTACTGTATAATGGTGTATTGGCAGCGTTTTGGTATAAAGGGGGTTCACAGGAGGAAACCGTCAGTTCTCTACTAGACTTTGTCTCCATCATAGGGTGAGCCAGAAGTTGAGTGTGATGGATCCTCACTGCGTTTACGCCCACCACCAAACTTCCTAGAAGACATAAGGCTGAATCTGTTTCAACTGCAAACCATCTTTCTTTATTTTTATTTATTTTTTTGGTCAGGCAGTAAACAGCAGCTAGGTTAATATCGTGATCAAAGACATCTTTTTATGCAGACCGGACACCTCCGGTCGCATTGCTGCCCTCCTCAGGACACNGGCAGTAAACAGCAGCTAGGTTAATATCGTGATCAAAGACATCTTTTTATGCAGACCGGACACCTCCGGTCGCATTGCTGCCCTCCTCAGGACACAGGCTTGTGACTTTTCCTGTGCATTACGCTGCTGCGGGTTATGCATAAATTAGGCTTTTGTTGGACATAAGATCTGGACTCGTTATGCATTTGTCCAAAATTGAAAAAATAAAATACAAAGAATAGAAAATCCCTTTGTTGGGGAATGGGGAAATTCTGGAATACATGGAAAGTTCAGTGTAAGCCAGTGCTGGCTAAATCGTCACGGTGCGAAAGGGGCTCTAAGAGCCACAAGGTGTAGACTATTACAGCTGTAGTCGGTGCTTCAACAGCTAACACAGATGGACACAGGCTTAAGCTGATGGATGTCTTATGTTAAGCCACTTGTAAATGAGACACGTTGCAAGCATCTTAGTTTAACTATGGAGATGAGATGGAGATTTATTTTGAAATCTATGATGATTTGGTTATTCCTATTTTTAATAAAGTCCAAACTCAGGACAGCCACCTGGCTGGACGTTCGTAAAGTATTTCCTGTTTCTTTCTGTTTCTGGATACTCAGACTTTATTGTCCAGCAGAATTTAGTACCTGCAGATAAGAACCGATATTTGCTTTAATCAGAATCATGTTACTATGCTTGACTGAGCAGCAAACAGGTCTGGAGAATCTATTGAATATTGTGAAAAGGAAGATGAGATATTAGAGCAGACAATGGTGACCTGATGCTGCTGTCAAAGCAACCTGGGCTCACATATTGTTTAGTAATGAACGGAGTATCCTGTAGGCCTACATTTGTGTTCTAAAGTTTGATTATATAACTTTTTGCTGCTTTGCCAATTTATAATTACATCTGAGTTTAGTAGGGTTGTTAAGGGAAAAGCTTCGATTCAAACTGTCGGTTCTGCTGGTTTTTGTTTTAAGCTTTTCTAAAAATCCTGATTCACACCTGAAACATGAATACAGCCAAAAAAACAAAAAACGGCTGCATGTATCTGCAGCGTCATCAGTGCTACAATTCAGTAAATGGGTTGATTAAGAGGTAAATATACGGTAAAATGCATACATTAAATAAACATTTAGAATTTAACAAGAGAAAGAAAAAGAAATTAATGTGGGAATATGGATAGTTTAAAAGTTAATATAATTATTAACTTTTAATAGTCTTGTTCTGCAGCACAGGTTGCATGTATTGGGCCAGTGGGCGGGGCTAATGTAGTAATAGATAATGTGGTTGGTCTAGATTAGGGCTACAACTAATGATTATATTGCAAATTGATTAATCTGTCAATCAATTTTTCAATTAATCGATTAATAGTCGGATAGCAAAAGGTTCCTTAAAGAAGATTTTTGGCGAAAGTAAATCAGGTAAAACTAACACTTTTTGGAGGATTAGATGGAGTATTGACAGAGTATTAGAGCCAGGCTAGAGATTTTTTTTCCTTCTATTTCGAGAATAAAATTGTGACATTATGAGAATAAAATGTCGTAAAATTACGAGAGTAAGGTAGCAACAAGAATAGTCATAAAATTACGAGAATAGTTGAAAAATTATGAGAATAAAGTCCTAAAATTAAGAGAATAAAGTCGGAATATTACGAGAAAAAATTCACAGCAAGAATAGTCATAAAATTAAGAGAATAAAGTCCTAAAATTAAAAGAAACCTTGAGTCGTCATATACTGGGCGGAGCTCCAAGTTTTTGTTCTGAAACGGGTTGTCGTATGATGAATTAATTCTCGTAATATTACGGTTTCTCGTAATGTTACGACTCTATTCTCTTAATATTATGACTTTATTCTCGTAATGTTACGACTTTATTCTCGTAATGTTCCAACTTTATTCTCTTAATATTACGACTTTATTCTCTTAATGTTACGACTTTATTCTCGTAATGTTACGACTTTATTCTCGTAATGTTGCGACTTTATTCTCATAATGTTACGACTTTATTCTCTTAATATTACAACTTTATTCTTGTAATATAATGACTTTATTCTCGTAATATTACGACTTTATTCTCTTAATGTTACGACTTTATTCTCGTAATGTTATGACTTTATTCTCGTAATATTACGACTTTATTCTCGTAATGTTACGACTTTATTCTCGTAATGTTACGACTTTATTCGTGTTATGTTACGATTTTATTCTCTTAATATTACAACTTCATTCTCCAAAAAAATTACCCAAAAAACTAATTTCTAGCCTGGCCCTAATACTCCGTCGTAGGAAAGAGCGTATTGACAGACCAAAAATGTTTTTATCTTAAATGCAAAATGTTAACATTTTTTTTATTTTATTTTTTTTTTTACAATTTTGGTATAATTACTGCTCTGAGTCGCTCTGTCAGCTAAAGGCATGTTTTAGAGTCTCTAAACTCCAGTTAACGATTAATCAGTTATTAAATTAGTTGACGATTATTTAAATAATCGATTAACCACGATAAATCAGATTAATTGTTTCAGCCCAAGTCTAGAGTTTCACTTCCAAACAGGTTAAGCAATCTGATGTTAGAATCTGGGAGGTAGTTTAGATTTTAGGATGAACTGTAGCACAGGAAGTAAGTAAAGAGGAAATGAATACTTGAGTGATTCTCATGTTATCTGAAGGCTCTTCTAATGTATTTATTTAATTTGTTTGTTTTAGTACAGTTCCTGTTCTATTGATTCATTCATCATGTTTTTAATAAACTGATTTGTAAATTTGTCAAATAATTAATTTATTGGGTTGTGGCCCTTTTAGCAGTAGTTTGATCTTCATTACTGTTGGAAACTTCAGATTTAGTGTCTGACTGTTTTCTTTTAATGCATGTGAAATGTGAGATTGCTGAAATTGTGCCGAAACAAGAAAGAAAAAGGAGCTTTTTAAATGTTCCACCATTTCCAGCTGGCAGTCGGGTTGTTTTACTTTGAAAGGGAGGAAAGGAGCCGGAAGTCTATTGTGATTAATTTGCCTGTGAGGCTCAGCCAACAGTTTTCCTTCTGTGCTGTTGCTGGGAGCTAGCTCTCCCTGTGCAGCCCGCTCCAGACGTTTCAGGTCGCTTTTTGTTGAACCCAGGCTATAAATGTAGATTGTTGGTTTAGAGTGGCGTTACTGGGAACGTCCTGCTGAGGAATGGAAGGTGGAAGAAAGGCTGCTGATCCTCAGTCTCATAATGATGTCTTTTTTTTTTTTTTTGGTCAGGATAATCATGGTGTTTCTTTTCTTCAGGTGATTGTTGGAGCATAATGGAGCCATGAAATAACAGGAAAGGTGTTTTAGAAGAATCGTTTGAGTGATGTGAGAAAGAGAGAAAAGATGCAGACTTTCCAGCTGTAGGTCTTATGAGGACGTGATGCCCAGACGGGGGTTCGCCTTCCAGGGACGGGTCCGCTGGCTCTTCCTGGGCCTCTTCCTGCTCCTGGTGCTGATGCTGTTCGCGTACCTGCTGGAGTGCACGCCGCCTGCAGACGTCAGCCATGTCCTGCCCGGCTTGGCGGGGGAGGCCTACGGGAAGGAGCACTACCAGGCCCTGCTGCAGGAGCACGAGGAGCGCCACCTGAGCCGGGCTTCCAGCCTCAAGCGTCAGATCGCCCAGCTCAAGCAGGAGCTGCAGGAGATGAGCGAGAAGCTGAAGCTGATGCAGGAGAAGAAGGAGCCCCCCGGGGTGCAGGGCCTGGGGGAGAACAAAGACCAAGAGCCGGGAGACCTGCTGGAGTTCCTGCACTCTCAGATCGACAAGGCAGAGGTCAACAGCGGAGCGCGGCTGCCCAGCGAGTACGCCCTGGTTCCCTTTGAGAGCTTCACCTCCTCCAAGGTGTACCAGCTAGAGATGGGGCTGACGCGGCACCCCGAGGAGAAACCTGTGCGCAAAGACCGCAGAGATGAGTTAGTGGAGGTCATGGAGGCTGCGCTGGACATCATCAACAACCCTGATGACGAGGACGGGGTGGAGGACGACGTCCCCATGCAGAGGCAAACCTACACAGACAGTCACTTTATGGAAGGTAAGGTCGACGGCAACCGAGGGCGGAGACGCCGCCGCCATGCTCTAAAGCCGGCTCTCATGTTCCAGGATTATACAGGACGGAGAGAGACAAGGGGACGCTTTACGAGCTGTTCTTCGCCAAAGAGGATTCCAGCAGCTTCCGTCACGTCACGCTCTTCAGACCGTTTGGGCCGATAATGAAAGTCAGGAGCACAACCGTGGAAACATTAGGAATGATCATCAACATCATCGTGCCGCTGGCGGGCAGAGTCGATACTTTCTCACAGTTTTTGCAAAACTTCAGGTAGGAACCTTTGAAGCCTGTGGAACATGATTCAGCACGCTGTGTTTAGGGAGCTCCTAAAAAAAAAAAATCAATCCTTTGTTTCAGGGAGGTGTGCATTCAGCAGGACAAACGGGTTCATCTTACCGTGGTTTATTTCGGACAGGAAGGTCTGCAGGAGGTGAAGTCATCGTTGGACAAAATGTCAAGGTTTGTGTTTTTGTGCCTCTCAGTGGAACTTCTCCACAGATCACTTTTATTTCCTCTAGATTCAAATTGGATCCTTTTGAGGTTCTTCAGTAATCTATTCATCACATCAGTGGGTTTAGTTCATCATCCTTCCTGCTTAGACTTGTCCTGGTTTTGTCAAGTTACAGCAGCAAACTTTCCGTCAAAGGGTTTAATAAAGGTAATAAATAAAAACCTGAAAAGTATGGAGTGCATGTCTGTCCCACCCCTTTACTCTGATACTCCTAAATACAGTCACTGCCGTCATCTGCTGGTCAGAACTTTATTCTCAAAATAGAAGAAGAAAAAAATCTCTAGCCTGGCCCTAATACTTCGTAATATTTGTGGTTGTCTGCTGTTATTATTTAACGTCCAAATAATTCAGAAATCTCAGATTAAAAAGAACAAAATCATGCAAACAGCTTGTGTCTTTAGTACCAATACCATGGCTCAGTAATATTGTATCCACGTTTTAATGCTGTTATAACTGCTTTAAAAGGCTGTTATACAAAATACCCTTTAGGGAAGGTAATTTAAAATGTAAGCTGAACTTTTCAAAATCGTTTCTGAATAAAAAATGTTTTCTTCTTGACTTTACAGCTGTTCTGTGTTGGTTTAATCATTTAAGTTCAGTTTAAAATCCGTAAAAGTTGAGGTGGTGTTGGTGCCTCTTAGGGGTGTAAATAATAATCGTTTTGTATCGATGCATCGATCCAACAGCCGACGATCCGATGCATCGATACGTCCGCAAGAGAATCGGTTAATTTTTTTTCCCTCCGGTCTATTTTTATCCATTTGCTCCTGGGCGTAATTCTCCCTCCCGTGCTGCGGTGGCGCTAAACCTATGGTGCCCTCCTACCTCGCTTCGTTTATTAACCCTTTTCTCTGGGGGTTTTCCTCCACAGAGAGGAGAGCTTCTCTAACTACACCCTCATCCCTGTGGACGAAGAGTTTTCTCGCGGCCGGGGTTTGGATATCGGAGCCCACGCGTGGAAGAAAGGCGACGTCCTGATGTTCTTCTGTGATGTGGACATTCGTTTCTCCCTGGACTTCTTGAACACGTGCCGTCTACACGCCTCCCCCAGTAGGTTCCTCACATCTTTTCTATCTCGCCCTAACCCTGCAAAGTTTAATGCATTTTTTATTTTTTTTATCTCTAATGCCATTATAGACAAGAAAGTGTTCTACCCGGTGGTGTTCAGTCTGTATAATCCCGCCATCGTTTATGGAAGTTTGGAGCTGGCTCCACCTATTGAACTGCAGCTGGTAAGACACGTAAAATTCAGGCCTGTTCTGCTTATGATTAACCCATAGTGAACCAAAAGGTTTCATGTGAATTGTTTATTTTTTATTTGTTTACAGATTCACAAAAAAGATGCAGGATTTTGGAGAGATTTTGGATTCGGAATGACGTGCCAGTATCGCTCTGATTTCCTAAACATTGGTAAACGTTTACATCAGATCCCATAATTGGATTTATTTATCATACTGCAGTGATCGCACACACTTAGTTGAGCTTTTACAGCCAAGCAACCGTTTTATTTAATACTGTATTCCCTGAATGTGTTAAAATAGGTTTTAGGTTTCTGACATTAAGGATCCCTTTTAGAAATTCAGAAAAAAAAGCTTTTATAATTCAGTGACTGTGTTTGGTGATGCAGGCTTATCTGTTTATATGTATTATGATTACTGTGATATAAAAACATGAAGTTAACCAGCTAGAGTCTGTGGAGGGAATTCAAGATTAAGGTGATGGCAAAGAGGCCTCCCGACCTCTTGGGGCTTAATCCAAGATGATAAATCGTCTGAACATCAGTGAAAATGTATCATTGTTTAAAAGCACTGATAAATTTGCCGTGCTTTGGTGGAGCAGTGGTTGGCGCACATGACCCTTGTACGGACGCCTTAGTCCTCGACGAGGCCGACCTGGGTTCAAATCCGGTCTGTGGTCCTTTCCCGCATGTCTCTCCCCCTCTCTCATTCCCACTTTCCTGTCAGTCCATTAAAAAAAAAAAAAACGAGCCACTAGTGCTGTAAAAAAACTAAAAAAAAGCACTGATAGTCAAAATAATCTATAGGCTTTATAATTTATAACTGGATTATTAAAACAAAAATTTTTTATCAATTAGTTTTTTGTAGTGTTGCACTAATACCAGTATCTGGCGGGGCCCCGATCCAGCACTAAAATGGTGATATCGGTATCAGCGACTACCAACAAATAGAGCACCGATACCATTTTGAGAGAAAAGTTTATTCTACTATTATCACCTATTCAAGGTAGGCAATAAAAAGTTCTACTGGATTCACTTTGTATTAGTCTGTTTCCTGCTTCACAAAGGTAGGTAGCAGCTTGACAAAGCCATGATGGCAATTATTTTACATCTCGCAAAACTTTTGCGAGATCTCCCAAAACTATTGCGGGA